GGCCTCATGTTCCTCAAGTAGATCTGTGCTTGAAATCAACAAGCAGCAGGCCCAGCCCCGGCCCACCTCCTTCTCCATATCCCTCGTCGCCCTTAAGGAAACCACCAGCTCTCAAATCAAAACCTGAGGGTCTTCCCAAGCCCACCCTGCTCCTTGCCACCCCTACCCCCCCCAGTCACTCCATCCAGTTCTGCCAGTCTTATCCCCTAAGTAGTTCTCCCCCACCTTCTGCCTTAACATAGACCCCCAGCGTCCTTGCCTGGACGACCGTGGTACATTTTCCCGCCATCTGCCACCTCCACGCTGTCAAAGTGACGCCTCCCTAAGCGAGCGCCTGGCACTCTGCAGCTCCTGCTCCCAGCCTGTCCAGCGTAGTCCCCCCCGGAGTCATTCCGCAGGACGTGTTGACGCCCCTGTGTGCTCTGGGCTTGGTGCTGTTGACTCTGCACTGGACAGATCAGCCTGTCCTCGTGGGCTCAGCAGTCTGGATGGGGGAGACAGACATAGACAGACACGCAGCCGTCTGCTGTCGGAGGTGATGAGGTGGTGAGGGCTGTGAAGGGGAGGTGGGGGCCTGAGCAGGCAGCCGGTCAGCTGAGAGCTCAGTGACCTTGAAGCAGGGGTGGGACGGAGGGAGAGAGGGAGTGAGCTCTGAGGCTGGTGGGGGAAGAACGTCCCAGGCCTCTGTGGGACAGCCCTGGGTCGGGGTGTGTGTGGCTTGTTTGAGGAATGCAGGTGGCCCACAGGGCTGGAGGGGTGTGAGCACAGACAGGGGTTCCTGAGAGGAGCCGGGGCTGCCCAGCGGAGGCCGGCTGACCTGTAGTTCATACTCTCAGAGCTTCCTCCCAGCCTGGATCTCCTGGTCTAGGGCAGGGGCATGGCGTACGCTCCACACTACGCTTTTGAACAAAAACGTAAACGTGTGAAGAATGAGGAAGACTGCCCAGATGATCAGGCCCCGGAGGAGCTTGTGGTCCAGCTGGGGAGTGTCCAACGGGGCTGTTCAGAGAACCGAGGGCAGTTCATCAGCTGACGCCTCTGTCTCCCTCTTTGAGAAGTAGGGTTACCTGCCTTGTGAAAGGATGACTGACCCTCTGAAGTCCTGGACAGTAAAGAACCACGTTCCTCAATGTAGAAGGCTAGTCAGCTGGTGACAAAGGCCACAGGTCTAAGGTCATGTCTGATCAATCTGTGCTGATTCTCGCTGCTTTTCCCTGCAGGGCCGTGTCCAGCACAGAGCTGCCAGCGCTGGAGAGCACGTGCAAGGCCATCATCAAAGAGCAGCAGCCTTTCGAAAGGTTGGAAGTCAGCAAGGAGGCCCTGCTGGACCTGTTTAAGGTGAGTTCGTGCCGGGAACGTGAACAATATTTAACACAGACGACTGGTTTTAACAAATAATTGGCCACTGCTCACCAAATTGTTCCAAACGGGTTGGTTGAATTTTTAATGCAGACATAGGTAGGTGAAGGGCCGGGGGAATAGTTTCATATGTGTGTTTTATAAATCTGATTAATTCTGAGTGTTGTTAGTACTCCCGCTATTGAATTCAACAATATGTATAATACCATATAAAATTCTGGGTTTTCCTCTTTTGTTTGGGGTTTTCTGCTAATTTTTTTTTTCACATCTTTATTGGAGTAAAAATGCTTTACAATGTTGTGTTAGTTTCTACTGTTCAACAAAGTAAATCAGCTGTATGTAAACATATATCCCCATATCCCCTCCCTCTTGAGCCTCCCTCCCACCCTCCCTATCCCACCCCTCTAGGTGGTCACAAAGCACTGAGCTGATCTTCCTGTGCTATGCAGCAGCTTCCCACTAGCCATCCATTTTACATTTGGTAGGGTATATATGTCCATGTCACTCTCTTACTTCATCCCAGCTTCCGCCTGCCCCCCGCTGTGCCCTCAAGTCCATTCTCTACACCTGTGTCTTTATTCTTGCCCTGCCACTAGGTTCATCAGTACCACTTTTTAAAATTCCATATATAAGCGTTAGCATACGGTATTTGTTTTTCTCTTTCTGACTTACTTCACCCTGTATGACAGATTCTAGGTCCATCCACCTCACTACAAATAACTCAATTTCGTTCTCTTTTATGGCTGAGTAATATTCCACTGTATATATGTGCCATATCTTCTTTATCCATTCATCTGTCGATGGACACTTAGGTTGCTTCCATGTCCTGGCTATTGTAAATAGTGCTGCAGTGAACATTTTGGTACATGTATCTTTTTGAATTATGATTTTCTCTGGGTATATGCCCAGTAGTGGGATTGCTGGGTCATATGGTAGTTCTATTTTTAGTTTCTTAAGGAACCTCCATACTGTTCTCCATAGTGGCTGTATCAATTTACATTCCCACCAACAGTGCAGGAGGGTTCCCGTTTTTAATTTTTACGTGTCCTCAGAATTTTATTTACTTCATGTAGTTAAAATTGGAATCTTCGAGAGCAGTGCTGTCCAATAATGAGATCCACAAATCTGAGCCACGTATGTCATCTTAAATTTTCTGGTAGCCACCTTTTAAAAGTAAAAGAAAGATGAAATTAATTTTTATAACATTTTATTTAACCCAATAAATCAAAAATATTGCTTCAACATGTAACCAACATAAAAAGTAATTAGTGAGCTATTTTATTTTCTTCTTTTCACATTATGCCTCTGAAATCCAGTGTTTTGCCCTTGTGGTGCACCTCATTTCAGATCAGCTGCATTTCAAATGCTCAGTAGCCTCCCGTCCTGCATGGCACAGCTTTGGGCTCTCAGCTCTTTGTATCCCCACAGTCTCAGCACCTAGAACATAGCAGATGCCCATTCAGGGTGTGTTGAAAAAAGTTAACATTTTTTCCCAGTTAAACATTTTGTGTGATAATATGTAAATGTATTTTTCTTTGTAGTACAATAAATTTAAATGCCGCATCCTGAAGGAGAATATTAACACGCCAACGACCACAGTTTACAGGTAAAGTGTGTGTGAATTTTAAACACTGCTCAGTGGTACATCTGAAGGCATTAACAGTAGCAAGTCTGTCTTTGGTGGGTGGTCTGTTTATAAATTTGCATGGTTGGTATAGTACTACTGTAGGTGGGGACTCTGAAATGTTATCACCAAAGGGGAATTGTTATTTTCTCATTTGTATTTATTAGGATGGTACTAAAAACCCACATTCTGTTTTCTGGATGTTAGCTGTAGCAGCCTCTTTCTCCCTGTGGTTAAGACTGTGTTCTCAGGGCCTCACATTTTGGGGGACTGTTAGGGAAAGGAATTCTGTTTGTCCTCCCACATTCTTATTGAGGGGCGGTGGGAGCTGTCATGGGCCATCTCCTCGGGCAGTGATTCTCTGCCTCTTACCACGCTCTCCACTGCTTGGGGTCCAAGAGCATTACCCTCCAGGCGTCAGCTGGACTCACAGTGAGACAAGAAGTGGTGGGATGCAGAGGCCAGTGGGAGCCCCTACCCAAACCACTTAGTTTTGCTGGGCATTAGGCTCCCAACACCTTTTACTGGCCACGTGTTCAGCTGCCTTGTGCGTACTGCTCGTCTCTGTTCCTGTGTGTCCTGCTCTCTGGCTGCCTGTGACCTTCACGGTCCCATCGGAGAAGACCTGGTCCCTGTATAAGTACGACCACAAATATCCTCCACAGGGAACTTCCTTTCCACACTCAAGTACTATGGTTCTCTGACTTAATTGTACTGTGAGTAAAATTATACCCCCTTTATGCACAGCTGTGCACAGTGCATTTCTTTTTTTTTTTTTTTTTTTGGCGGTTTGCTGCCCTCTCACTGTTGTTGCCTCTTCCGTTGCGGCTCTGGACGCGCAGGCTCAGCAGACATGGCTCACGGGCTCAGCCGCTCCGTGGCATGTGGGATCTTCCCGGACCGGGGCACGAACCCGCATCCCCTGCATCGGCAGGCGGACTCTCAACCACTGCGCCACCAGGGAAGCCCGCATTTCTTTTTTTAAAAAAATAAATTTATTTATTGTATTTATTTATTTTTGGCTGTGTTTGGTCTTCATTGCTGCACGTGGGCTTTCTCTAGTTGCAGTGAGCAGGGGCTACTCTTCGTTGCCATGCGTTAACTTCTCACTGTGGTGGCTTCTCTTGTTGCGGAGCATGAGCTCTAGGCACGTGGGCTTCAGTAGTTGTGGCACGCAAGCTCAGTAGTTGTGGCTCACAGGCTCTAGAGTGCAGGCTCAGTAGTTGTGGTGCAAGGGCTTAGTTGCTCCGTGGCATGTGGGATCTTCCCGGATCAGGGCTCAAACCCGTGTCCCCTGCATTGGCAGGCAGATTCTCAACCACTGCACCACCAGGGAAGTCCCCACAGTGCATTTCTTAAATGATAATATGAATACATGGCCATTTCATTCTGAAGGTGGATACCGTGCTTATCTTATTTTTGCTGCTCTCCAATGACCTGATAAGATTTTGTTATTTATTACCTATAATACAAATAAGTGTCAGTATAATCATTTTAAAGTTTAAAAATAAATGAAGAAATTGAAAAGGTATGCTAAGTTTTAAATTTCTGGCTTTTAATACTTGACATTTTGGTTTTTTTTTTTAACTTAGGTCAACATTGATGCTTATTCTATCAATTGGAATGGCTTGTATTTAATTTTTTGAAAATAAATGGCTTTTTTTCTATGGAATTATTTAAAGATTAGCTTATTAAAGTCTTTCATGCTAATCAGGCATTTTTTTCCATTTCTCTGAGCATTGACTTACAACCTCCATCTTAGACAGAGAACAATACATAAAAGCCTGGTCATTCAGAGAAATGATGTTTTCATGTTTAAAGCTTCATTGTACTTTGGTGAATAATCCAGTCCCTTTATGTATTCATTGTAATTTTTAACTTTTTAACCAATGAACTTTAAAAATACTTAAAATTGGTTGGAATAGTTAAGGAACAACTTTTTTTCTTTACTAAATTTTCCTTAAATTGGTTGACGTTATTGGTTCTTTACTAAATTTTCCTTAAGTTGGTTGTCACCTTCCCTCAGACCCACATTATTGGTATCTTAACTCTGCTAATGTTTCTGTACTTGGAGAAAAGTCTGCGCTTGTTAGGGTTTAGTGGTCCCTTGTTCATTATAGGTGCAGGCGAGTCCCCAGCTGCAGCCCCGTGTGCTTTAATAGCAGTGTCGTCTCTGATCTAAACCTTTGCCTGAGATTTACGTTGTTAAGTCAGTATGCTGTTTTTCTAAACCAAGAGACAATTAGACATTTTGTCATGAAATCAGAGGGCCTTAAAACAAACAAAAACCCTTGAATTTATTTACTTTTTAAGTAGACTATTTTTTAGAGCCGTTTAGGTTCGCAGCAAAATTTAGAAAAAGATGCAGAGAGTTCCCATACACCCTTGCCCCCATATATGCACAACTTCCCCATGGTCAAGATTACCCACCAGAGGTGGGAAATGAGTCACAATCCATCTACACCGATGCTTATAGCGTGCTTCACTGTTGGTGTGCATTCTGTGGGTTTGGTGAAGTTTATTTTTAATGTAAAATATCAACTTAACGCATTTTTTATAACTGTCATATAATTTTGGTTTTGAAAATTAGTGTAGAGCAGGGAAATGGCTATCTGATTTTAAGACAGTGAAGGTTTTTAGGAGCCTTAGGGTGTGACAATGAAAAGTGGTGTCTGTCTGCACAGTTTCTTTCCAAGGATTCTGTGGCTTTTGAATGTGAGCGAAGGAGGGAAGGCTGGGATCTGAGACAAGGTGAATCGCCTCTTTCTTGCTCCTTAAATTAAAAATTCATTTAAATTAAGTTGTTCCTAAATTAAACATTGCCCCAAAACATAGAACATGGTTTCTAATGAATAGTCCCAAAAGCTATAACTGTGCCTGGGCATGTTTTAAATATTTTATTACAGGTGTGGTCCACTAGTTGACCTCTGTAAAGGCCCCCATGTAAGACACACTGGAAAAATTAAAGAGATAAAAATTTTCAAGGTAAGTATTGATTTTTTTCTTAATATAGTAAACTTAAGATGAACTAGATATTCAATAATATCTTTTATAACCTGAACACCATGCCTCTTAGAAACACTACATCCATATTTGATTTTTATGTGGGCTTCTAAAAATAATATAATTTTTTAGAATTTTGGTAATTAGAACATTATATGTAGCCTTTAATTGTTTATCATTTAACCTTACTATACGTGTTACAGTGCATTTCTTTTTCATCTATATTACAATATTGTTCTGCATACTATTGTTTTCTTGAATTGCCCTAATGTGAACAAGAATGTTTATCTGCATGTAAGAATAACGTACTGTAGGAAAAGGAGAAAATAAAGGGATAGAGTGGTATGATGCAGAAAACGCGCTCTGGAATCAAGAGGCATGAGACTGACGTCACCGTCCTGCCCTTCCCAGGCCTTGGTTTTCTCACAGGTGAAGGAAGGGTGATGACAGTCAGCAAGGCTGGCCTTCATGTCCCCACACCTCTTCCTCCACTGCCCTCTCCTGGGTGATGCACTCGGTGCTTGGCCTTCCCTCATTTCCACACTTTCTTTCTCACTTTTCATCCCTAGAATCCACAGCAGACTGAGTACATAATTTACTGATTAATGGTATAATTTGGGCTGGGAAGGTTTAGTTAGAAACAATTTAAGATTCCAAGTCTGCAAAAACTCATCTTTAAGTAAGCTATGCTGATGTTAGGGTGAGGAATTGTGTACAGTCATCCCTTGGCATCCACGGGGCAGTGGTTCCAGGATACCCGGCTGATACCAAAGTCCACGGTAGCTCAGGCCCCTGGTATGAACCAGCTGTACATATTTCAGAGCAGTTTTATTTGTAACCAAGGGTTTGGTGTGTTTACCCAAATCTCATCTGATGTTTAGAATTCCTCAGCATATTGGGAGGGTAACCCTGAAATGGAAACGCTGCAGAGGGTCTACGGGATATCCTTTCCTGATGACCAGATGATGACAGCCTGGGAGAAGCTGCAGGAGGAGACCAAGACCCAGGATCACAGGAGGATTGGGAAGGTGCGCCGTGCTGAGCGCTGCTGAGCTGGCCTGCGACCGCGTCTCAGAACTAGGGTGTCTTAAAACTAGCATTTCTTCTTCTCCTCCTCTCCTGTCTTCTGTTTTGCTGGCGCTCATGGTTTGCTGCTGAGTTCTTTCACGCTCCTACCCCAATGTCTTCTAACCTCTTTCCTTCTTGTATTTCTTATTAGATTTAAACAATTGCACCTTTCATTTTTATCATGATATAAAAATAACCTTTTTAAAATAATTGTGTATACTTGATAATGTACTTTGTATTTGGGAAGCAGAGCAGAAACAAAGAAGATATGCAAGAAGGCAGACCTGGGTTTAACTCAGTCCTGCCACGTAGGAGCTGTTACACGACAGGCCAGGCACTCGCTGTGGAGCTCCATGTCCTCGGCTCTGCTGGGTAGCGTGCAAAGTGGCATGAGGACGGACACTGGGTGTTGGTGGCCACCAGAGTGGGCTCTCAGCATGACGGCCATGCTGATGTCACGTCACTCAGAGCCCACCTCCAGCCATGTCTCCCCATGAGAACCATACTCCAAGGTGCCGAGGAGGAAATCAGCAGTAAATACTAGGTGAAATAAAAGCCAAGTTCAAAGCTAAGTAACCATAAATATGAGTTGTAATTTTACATGTGCTGTTACATGTAGTTAGATTCAAGTACAGTATTGAGGGACTTTGGAATGTCAATATTAGAATCAGAAATAACTGAGTATATGTTTTATTCCTAGTGTATCATTTGTATACAGTAAATGTTATGTAGCGACAGTGAAAATGAAATGCAATTATTGTTTTAATCTAGGAACAAGAACTTTTCTTCTTCCATGATCTGAGTCCTGGAAGCTGTTTCTTTCTTCCCAGAGGAGCCTTCGTTTATAATACACTTATGGATTTCATACGAGTAAGTTAATTTTTAAAATATTCTATACTTATTCAACTCCATTTTACATTTTACTATTTTCTCTCATCGTAAAATGGCCAAGCATTTCCATTAATTTTATTTTAATAATACTAAGAATTTTGAACCTCAAAGAGAAATGCCACATTGTGCCTTCAACTAAAAACATTGAAACAATTTGTATTTTCCCTAAATATTTACATTTATACTTGGACTTCATTAAATGTACCTCTTGTCCATGTAAGTTTCTGGAACACGTAGGATACTAAGATAAACTTCAGACCAAGTGTGGAACTTCCCCTGAGAGAAGGAAGGAGGAAGGGTTCTGTGTAGCACAGAGCACTAAACTGTGAAGTATCATTGCTTCTCAGGATGTGATCCCTGGACCACTGGTGCCCCCTGCCATTGTTTATTATGTGACTCCTAGGTGATTTGGCAGCTCCAGAGCAAAGAGTGAAAAAACATTTTGTAAAATAGCTACTTGTACAATAGGACAAGTTCATAGAGTAGAAAGTCTTCATTAGGACTATGTAGATGTTGTGCAGAGGTGACCCAGGCAGACTACTAGGATTACTTTTCCTTTCTGTACTTTCTGTGTCTTTCCTGTAATTAATAATTACCTAAAACTTTCATTTCCTCACTTTTCTATGTGCCCATCACTAATTCATCCTCAACTTTCTATCAAACCTCTGAAACTCCTTGCAGTGTATTCTGATGATTCAGGTAATCTCTAAGTAAATTTTTTTTCTTCAAATTTGGTCCTCTCCCTCCAGAATTGACTTGCTGCTAAGATTCTTGACAACTGATGTCTTAGCACTTCTTTTCGTCATCGCCCTGGCTACTCCCCTCCTGTCTTTCCTGTGCTGAGTCCCCTCTCCCCTGACCCATGTCTTCCTCTTCCTTGCTTGTCCCTCTCGTTGGGGGGACCACCTTCTGCAGTGCCTTCCTGAGAAGGTACGCGGCCTGTACTGGTTACTCTCTGACTCGCTTTCCTTCCTTTTCTTCTCGGCTGTGCGCCTGGAGGCTGACCTCTGTGGGCTGCATGCCTTCTACAGGGATTGGCCACTGCTTAGCCATGGGAGGAGATCAGAGAGCAGGGAGGTAAGACCTGAAGAGTCTTTGAAGGGTGTCAGACTTCACCAGGTGGTAATGGCCATCACAGCTGCTGTTTGGGGTGTGCTGTCTTTGCTGGAAAATCAGCACAGCCCCTGGCACCTTGAACTCCCTGGGTTGGAGGTGGAATGTGTGGAGAATAAACAGGATGCCTCTATGGTGGCTTTAAAAGAATCTTTTATCTTTTATAGATGCAAGACAGACATGGCTGATGATCAGGCCCAAGGCCTGATCGTATGGGTTGTAGTACTGTACAGTCGTTTACATACGTAAGCCCAGTGGTCTCTTCTGCTGAGGTAAGGGCATTGGTGGGAAGGACGGGAGTCTCTGAGGCTTCGAAGGGGAATGGTTGGCAGACACAGATGAGGTGAAGAACTCTGAACCCCCAGATATCCGTGTCTGAGGAAATCGGCCTTTCCATGCAAAAAAGAAAAACCTCTCAGAGACTGCCTTCTCCTGGTTTCCTGGTATGCAGTCTTGCCTCTTTCCACAGCTGATCATTTTCTATTCTATGCTGGATATTGTATGTAAACATACCTGCAGAGGCTCCGGGTGACGTTTTCTCCCACTTGAGCAGCTACCCATCGCCTAGATGGAAGAAGAAGCCCTCAGTGCGGAGACTGAGCTCAGTCAAGGCTGGGCTTGCATTTGGATGGGACACAGGCTGCCCTTGTGTCTGGGGCCTGGCCCCCGGGGCTTCCAGCTGAGCGTCTGGTGGCTCTTTATGTCTTCAGCCCCCAAAGGCTGGAGGATAATCAGCTCTGCCCTTTGAATGTGTTTTGAGTGCTGAGTAAAAGGTCTGCCGAGTCTCCTCTGGTTACCACATCAGCGCAGAAGGTAGTAACTCATCTCGGTGCAGAGGAGGCTTCTCAGGTGTAGCCCCTCAGGTAGAGTTCCTGTCAGTGTAAGACCTGTGGACTAAAGAGACAGGTTACCTGTGGGCCACCCCACTCCCCCCACCCCACCACATTATAAAATGATGATGGAGGAGTAGGAGGCCGGGGACATTCCCCACTCAGGAAGGGATGGGCACAGAAGGAGGTGCTGGGGTCGGTGATCTGTCGAAACCCTGATTCCCACCCGTCTTCCCAGCTCCAAGGTCAGAAAACGCTTGTTATTCAGGACTCAGTTCTCTTCCCTCTGGGCCCTGGTTCAGAGTCAGCCTCCCTGCCTGTGTGGACCTCTGAGCAGCTTTCTTAGTGTCCCCGGCCTGATTCCTTCTGTGAAGGTTGGGGTCCAGAGACCTCATTTCTTCTCGTGCTGTCTCTGTCCCTTTCAATCCCAGCTAGTACAGTTCCTTTAAGAGTTGGGGGGCGGGGAGCACTTTTACATACCGTGTTTATAATCAATGCTTAGATAAAAACCATCCCTGCGTCTCTTTCTGGGACAGATTCTTCCCTACCCAGGGCTGCCTGGGAGGCTGCTGGGAAATGACACTTAAAAATGTAAAAGCCTCCTCTTTAACTGAGTGTACAAAGAGCAGTCCTAAGACTCTTAAAGCCCCATTGGGTACTCAGCTCATTCCGAGGTCTTTGCAAAGGGCAGACAGCTGCACCCTTAAGATTTTACCTTTGTCCTCAAGAGTCTTGTGACTCTTTTGCTGAGAAGGTCTGAGGGTGAGAAAGTTTTATTTTTGAATCCGGTCGGTCCTGCCACCTTTGTATTTCCTCTAAATTTGTCTCAGAAACGTAATAGTGCTCTCTCTAGTTTCTGTCTTCTTGTATTTTGTCACAGGCAGTTAGAAGTCGGCTGTCCCTTTCCACATTCTGCCCGGACACCCCCAGCTAAGTCTGTGAGCTCTTCGGGGACTCTTTCTGTTTTCCGCGTTACCTGCGGTGACAGGGTTACCAAATCTCTGGCACCACCTAACAAGGGTCCTCTTTTCTTCAACTTCCAGTAACATTTTCCTCCCTATTAGTGTTCAGCTCGTCACAGACAGTTTCTTTAAGGCCCTTCTAGCTCTGCCCACCACTTGGCCCTAAAGCCACAGCCCCCTGTTTTAGGGTTACTGGTGCAGCAGCACCCATGGCCAGTGCACATTCCGTCCTGGTTGTCTGTTCTATCGCAGCCTAGAAAACCATGCTGAAACTGAGTAGCTTAAAACTGCTGATTAAAACTTCTCTTTCATGGTTCCAAGTGTTAGGCTCATTGGGGTGGTTCTTGCATTAGGTCCCTTATGTTGTTGCAGGAAGGGGAACCCCTTCCAGAGCCCAAGAGTGGGCTCTTGGCTAACACTTGGAAATGAATTGTCCAAGAAGACACATGTGCTGACAAAGCAGGAGACTTTATTGGGAAGGGGCGCCCGGGCAGAGAGCAGTAGGGTAAGTGAACCCAGGAGGACTGCTCTCCACGTGGCTCGAAGTCTCGGGTTCCATGGTGATGGGGTTAGTTTCAGGTTGTCTCTGGCCAATCATCTTGCTTGGCCCATATTTGGTGGCTCAGGGTCCTTCCTGGTGGCATGCGCATCTCTCAGCCAAGATGGATTCCAACACGAGGGTTTCTGGGAGGTTGGCAGGACATATCATGGGCTGACGTCTCCTCCCTTCTCCTTTCAGCCCCTCCTGAATTCTCCCCGTTAGTTTTCAGTGGCAGCACCATGTTCTTTATCAGGACCTCCTGCTGTGAGACAACACAGGCAGGCGCTTATCATAGTGCCTGGCCAAGGCGGGTGGTTTCGGTCAACGGTTCCCTAACAATATTATTGTATTCGGAGGGAGGCTACTGATTGAAATATAAGTTACATTCATTAAAGTGGACAAATCTGAAGCATTTCACATGTGCACATCTACCAGCCACACTCAAATCAAGACCAAGAACCTTCCATCTTGTCGTGTGTCCTCTTGGGTCTCTTCCCGGTTGGTACCTGCCTCCCCTCCCCTCCCCTGAGATCATCTCTATGCTGATTTTGGTTACCATAGATAAATTGCCCCGGTTTTAAACTTCATAACATGGAATCGTAGTATTCACTATTGTGTTTCTGGCTTCTTTTGTTCAACTTAATGTGTGAGATTCATCCAAGTTGTGTGTATTTTGATTTATCCCATTTTATTACTATAGTACAATCTGTTTATTTATTCTCCTGTAGACGCACATGTAGGTTGTTTCCAGTTTGGGGCTATTACATATGAAGCTACTGTGAACATTCTTGATCATGTCTTTGGTGCTCCCAAGAACCCACTTCTCTTGGGTATTTACGTGGGAATAGAATTGCTAGGTCCTGGGGAAGTAATGACAAACTTTTTAAGAAAATGCTGAACAGTTTTTATGTAGTTGAACGACTTACTACTCCTTCTAGGAATATATGACTATTTAATTCTTCTACACTGTTAAAAACAAAATTCAGCCAAGTAAATTTGAAGAACTAATGGGCTTTATTCAGAAATTCAAGAATCAGCAGCAGTAGGAGGGGTTGTACGAAATGGAGGGTTTTTATAGGTAGAAGGAGGGGAGGGGGCGAGAAGGTGTTAGCAAATGAAAAGAAAGGATTATTTCAGGCAGGCTGTCTTCTACTGGGGGAGGAACAGCAGGGTCTTTCTCAGGTAGTTACCTCACCAGTGCTGATCAGGACATTTCAGATGGGCTGTTGTAAAGGTCACATCTCTGTGGGGGTGGGGTTGAAACTGTCTTGGTTTCCTGTCCTGGGGGTAAGTGACCCCATTTGAGGCTTGTTATTTCTTTTTTAACACTTGGTATAATGGCACTATTTTGCATATCCCTGATGGATAGTGATGTTGAGAATCTTTTCATATGCTTATTAGCCACTTGGATGTTCTCTTTTGTGAAGCTCCTGTTTAAATATTTTGCCCATTTAAAAGTTTGGGTTGTCTTTTTATTATTGATTTGTAGGAATTTTTTTCTATATTCTGAATCTGAGTCCTTAGTTAAATATATGTAATAAATATATTCTTTCAGTCTGTGGCTTCTTGATTTATTTTTTAATGATGTCTTTGGACCAACACTTTCTATATTTAATGAAGTTCAGTTTATTACTTTTTCTTTTCTCCTTAGTGTTTTTCACATCCTGTTTAAGAAATCTTTGGCCGACTTCAGAGTCATGAAGCTATTTTTCTTTGTTCTGTTTAAAAACTTGTTTGCTTTCACACTTAAGGCTATGATTTACCTTGGATTCATTTTGAGGTTCTGTGCTTATCCAGTAACTTCAGTACCATTTATTACTATAGCAGAATCTTTGTCCCAAGCCAAATCATCGCATATATATTTTTTCCGGGTATTTACTCCGTTCTTCTGATCCCTTTGTTGTCTGGCCTTGCGTCAGTACCACACCGCTTTGATTACTGTAACTGTATTTTAAGTCTTGGTGTCAGTAGTTTAAGTTCATTAATTTTATTATTTTTGTTCAGGATTATTTTGGCTATTCTTTGCATTTCCATATAACTTTTACAAGAAGCTTGTCAATTTCCTAAAAAAGGAAAAAAACACTGCTGAGATTTTGATTGGAATTACATTCAATCTATAGATTAATTTGCAGATAATGACAACAATATTGAGTTTAACAATCCATATGTAAATCTTGTCAGTTCATTTAGATCTTTATTTTCCCTCAGCAATATTTTGTTACTGCTACTTTAGAGGTCTTAACACATCTTTCATCAGATTTATCCCTAGATATTTGATTTTGTTAATGGAAACAGCAGAAAAAACACAAAAAATGCTCAACATCATTAGTCTTAAAAGAAATGAAATTTTCAATGGAAACCCTAAAATATAGAAGACAGGAGCAATACCTTAAAAATGTGAAGCCAAGAAATCTATATCCAGCCAGAGTAGTCTTGCTTCTGGGATTCTCCCGTAAAGTTTCAGCTTTCCCAGATCTGCTGAGGCTGTTGCTCATCTGCTTTCCGGATTCATAAGTATATAGCTGTCATCTCCTCTCCTTTTTCTCTTTGGCCTTGTAGATTTATGCTTTTATTAAAACTCTGGTATTTTAGTGTGATTTTGGAAAGGATCTGTTTAAGTGGAATCACTTTAGTGTTTATAATGAAAAATTACTTAAGAGAATTTCTCTATGCACTGATATTTAGGTGCTATTTCCAGTGGCCAAATCACAGGTGCAGGTGGAGATTCAGTACTTTCTACGGTATGAAGTTATTACTTCAGGGATGAAATATGCTTTTTAATCTTCAGAATAAGCTTTCAGGATTTCTTCAGATCATACTGAGCTATAGACTGGTCAGTCATCATGACTTTGCTCTTTCTCAGACTTGATTTTCTTTACACTTTAGAGAAAGAAATTGGTGATATGGATTCAGATATATTTTTCCCCAACTTTTTCTTTCAAAAAGTTCAAATCTACAGAAAAGTTAAAGAGCAGTGCAGTGAGCATACATGTGTCCTTCATCTAGATTCATCAATTGTTAAGTTTGCCAATTTGCTTTCTCTCTCTCTGACATGTATGTGCATGTGAGAGAGACAAAATATATATGTGTTACACACATATAATATACAGAGATAAGGTGATATACATGCAATATATGTGTACATTTTATGTATAAATGTAGCAGTTGTTTTTTGCTAAACTGCATAAAATAAGTTGCAAACATAATGACACTTGCCCTCATAGGGCATAGTTTAAAATCGTTTCCAAACACCTCAACAAAACAAATTCCTAACATGATTGTGTCCAGAGTGGGTTAAAAAAAATCTATCAATTACTCTCTCCTGAGCTTAGCTTTAAAAGTAACCTCTAGTAAAAAGAAACCAAAACACAAAAACCCCTTTAATTTCTGGGACCTTGTTTTTTGTTTTAAATTTATTTATTTATTTATTTGATTTTGAACTGTGTTGGATTTTCATTGTTGCACACGGGCTTTTTCTAGTTGTGGCGAGCGAGGGCTACCCTTCGTTGCGGTGCGCAGGCTTCTTATTGCGGTGGCTTCTCTTGTTGCAGAGCACAGGCTCTAGGCACGTGGGTTTCAGTAGTTGTGGCACACAGGCTCAGTAGTTGTGGTGCACAGCCTTAGTTGCTCCGTGGCATGTGGGATCTTCCCAGACCAGGGCTCAAACTCGTGTCCCCTACATTGGCAGGCAGATTCTTAACCACTGCGCCACCAAGGAAGTAGCTGGGACATTGTTTAATCTGAGTATATGGAGCCATCTGACTTACCACTAAATAATTACTGCCATTCATAGTGACCTATAATTTTGTTGAAATTTTCCTATTTGGTAAAAACAAAGGTTAAGTAAAGAAGCTTAATGGATAGCTGAGACCCAGGCTCTTCACAACTGGACTGAAAAGATGCTCAGCTGAAGAGGGACAAATAATATATCCCTGTCCGTGATGCAAAACTGTTCTTTGTAGTAATTTTGAAATAATATGTTTTATATTTTTTTAATTGTATAAAAATATATTTTTACTTAGCTAAAATATGGTGATCTAGGTTTGTGCCAGATGCCCATTAAATGATTAACAAATGTTGAAACTCTAAGAAACACTGAACAAAGATCATCAGATTGATAACTTGAAGAAAAAGAAAGCAAAGTTAAAGTAAAAGAAGAACTCTGCTTGAAAACAAGCCTCTCTTTTCCTGACCCCAGTGATGGAATGAGGGAAGCTGTTAATTGATAGGGAGGGAGCAAAGCCAGCTCCTGACTCAGTAGATAACAACCACTTAAAATATTACAAATTCAAATTCCCAGCTTTAGTTCTATTTAAAACTAAATGGGTCAAAACTGTAAATAACATGGCACTCAGAGGCTTATTGAGTTATAAAATTATTCTACCTCTTAAGTAATAGAAAATAAACTCCTGGGCTTCCCTGGTGGCGCAGTGGTTGAAAGTCCGCCTGCCGATGCAGGGACACGGGTTCGTGCCCTGGTCCGGGAGGATCCCGCGTGCCGTGGAGCAGCTAGGCCCATGAGCCATGGCCGCTGAGCCTGCGCATCCAGAGCCAGTGCTCCGCAATGGGAGAGGCCACAACAGAGAGAGGCCCGCGTACCGCCTAAAAAAAAAAAAAAAAAAAAACTCCTGCTGTTTATCTGGAACGTACAAGGATTTGGGAGTTTGTAGTTATAAAAAGTTTATATATATAGTATTTCAATTACTAATTCTCAAAGAATTAAAATACTATACACTATATACTATTATACTATAAAATAAATATACTTAATGTGAAAATTATACTGAGCATACACTAATCTTTCTTTCATGATCCATAAGTTACCACCCTTAAAGCCAAGGGCATATTAACCATGAATTAATGTAAGACATAATCCTGAATTTAAAAATCTTTGTTCATAGTGTTATTTGCCTGGAGTTGTGACCTGTCCCAGCAGATTTTAACTTTGCGTGTGCGTCTCTTTTAGGAGGAGTACCACCGACGCAGCTTCATGGAGGTGCTCTCCCCCAACGTGTACAGCAGTAAGCTCTGGGAAACCTCTGGACACTGGCAGCATTACAGTGACAACATGTTCACCTTTGACATTGACAAGGACACTTTTGCCCTTAAGCCCATGAATTGTCCGGGGCACTGGTGAGTATTAAAAGTGAAGCAGATCTGTGCCTATAAACGCATAGCCGACTTCCTCACAATTAGTCTTTAATATTATTTTGCTTTTTGGAACTAAGTGATTCCTTTAATCTGAAGACTGGTGGTTAGAAATCATCTTTACCAAGTTACTTCATTCTGGAGAATAAATTTACTTTTTAAAATATGTTTGCTCTTTGACAGGTGTGGGATGGTAGCTGGAAACCACTTAGTATTTTGTGCTTCTCAGAGGATAATGTTAGATATCAACTTTATAAATTATTGTAATATTTCTCTTCCTAATAGTAATACACTTCAAATATACATATTTGCAGAACATCTAGTTCTTACATACTATTTGGGTTGATTGTAACAAGAACAGTGAGGTCAAAATAAATGACTGGATTTCATTGATTCTAAGATGGCTTTACCCCTGAAATTGGGACACATCTTATAATTGGTATCTTAACATTATACCATAATTTAATTAATGGTTATTTTCTTTCTTAGTGATGTATAAAATAATGGTACATCTTACAGTCAAGGTTGTCTTAGAGTCTGTGAAAGAATGTAATTATCATAAAGTTGCATGGTATGCAAATACAACCTTGTAAGAGTAGCAGATTTTACAACTGGAAGTGAACAGATACAATTCTCCACAAAAAAATATCCCAACTATTGTAGCTTTGTATCATCAACTACATAGTTTCAGGTAAATTTACCTTAGAAGGTAACTACTTAAAACAAACCTCTGAACATTGAAGAAAGCTCTTTGCCCTTTTCAGTAAAGAATGAAAGAAGTTCAACTTTGTGATGACAGCATGTAAAAAATATATATTTATCTTTAATTTTCTAAAAACTGTTATGTAAATATTCTATAACCTCGTTTTAAAAACAGAAGGTGGGGCTTCCCTGGTGGCACAGTGGTTGAGAGTCCGCCTGCCGATGCAGGGGACGCAGGTTCGTGCCCCAGTCCGGGAAGATCCCAGATGCCGCGGAGTGGCTAGGCCTGTGAGCCATGGCCGCTGAGCCTGCGCGTCCGGAGCCTGTGCTCTGCAACGGGAGAGGCCACAACAGTGAGAGGCCTGCGTACCGCAAAAAAACAAATAAATAAATAAAAACAGAAGATGGAGGCTAACCTTGTGCTTTGCATTCTCTAAAACACCTGTATTAACAACTTCTTAACTCAGTTTCCCATTGGGTACCAGTTGAAGCTGTGATTTCAATAGAATTAGAAGAAAGCTGAACACAAGTAGAGAATGTAATTTTGTATTTTCATGTCTCAGAACAAGGAAGAGCAGGACCACAGTGGCCTAGTGGTGATGGGATTTGGGAGCCAGGGGTGCTTCCTGCAGAAGAGAGGCCTTTCATTCAACAGAGAACATTAGCCGAGTGTTTCCAGTGCTGGGAGCTGGAAATGCAGAGGTGATTCAGACGCAATCCATTTCCCCCCGGAGCTCATGAGCAGATTGGGGAAGGAACAGATGTATAGACAGTCAGTTATAAAAATAGCAAGACCAGTGTCAAAACTGTGGCAATTCCAGCTGTTCTTAGAGCCTGAGGCAAGCCTGACTAGCCCTTCTGGGGGAGTGTCCAGGGCTGCTTCATTTAAGAAGTAGCCTTTGAAATGGATTGTAAACGGTAAGTGGATATTCCCTGGATGAATGAGAGTAGGGAACAGCATTCTGGAGAAGATAAGAGGGTTCTTTCTCAGAGTGTGCAGTGATGTAAGTTCAAGGTTCACTAATTCATGGGAGAAGAATTTTTGTAAAATTGGTGATCTAAGAACCAGAATAAGGTGTTTACAAATCCTGAGGCATTTAACTGTACCTTATTAACATCTAGATCATTACATAATCTTTTCCATGCTAAGGAAAAGCTGTGTGCCATTGTTTCTTTTCTAGTCTGATGTTTGCCCATCGTCCACGATCTTGGAGGGAAATGCCTATTAGATTTGCTGACTTCGGAGCTCTTCACAGGAATGAGCTGTCAGGAACTTTGCATGGCTTGACCCACGTCAGGCGCTTCCAGCAGGATGACGCTCACATCTTCTGCACTGTGGAGCAGGTAAACAGGGACACAGGGGAGGCGTGGTCAGCACAGGTCCGGTGTGCTACCTTGGACAGATCGCTGAGTCTTTCAGGGTCGCTGTGAAATGTGTTGTTCAGTCTAGTCTCTGAGGGCCCATCAGCTCCAACATTTTGTGATTCTCTAATTTGGGTCATAGATCAGTAATCTCATGACATGAAAAAGTTTTTTTCAAACATAATTTATTTTATTATAAAGGAACATGATTCTCTGAAAATTCGAAGTTCCGTTTGATGCTATTTAAAAATTTTTAACAATCAGTCACTGACAAAAATCAAAAGTAAAGACAGTTTTATTATTATACATTGGAACATAAATCACATTGTTGTTTATCTATTTTATCTATCTGTAAAGTAGTGTGTGTCTGTTAATCCTAAACTCCTAATTTATTCTCCCCCTTCCCTTTCCCCTTTGGTAACCATAAGTTATTTTCTATGTCTGTGAGTCTGTTTCTGTTTTGTAAGTAAGTTCATTTGTATCATTTTTTAGATTCCACATATAAATGATATCATGATTTTTGTCTTTCTCTATCTGACTTACTTCACTTAGTATGATAAACTCTAGGTTCATCCATGTTGCTGCAAATAGCAATATTTCCTTCTCTTTTTATAGCTGGGTACTATTCTATTGTGTGTGTGCGTATATGTGTGTGTGTATATATATATATATATACACACACACATATACACACACACCACATCTTCTTTATCCATTCATCTGTCCATGGATACATATGTTGCTTACATGCCTTGGCTGTTGTAAATAGTGCTGCTGTGAACATTGGGGTGCATGTATCTTTTTGAATTAGAGTTTTCATCTTTTCTGGATATTTGTCCAGGAGTGGGATTGCTGAATCATATGGCAACTCTATTTTTAGCTTTTTAAGGAAGCTTCATACTGTTCTCCATAGTGCCTGCACCAGTTTACATTCCTGCCAATGGTTTAGGAGGCTTCCATTTTCTCCACACCCTCTCTAGCACTTATTATTTTGTTGACTTCTTGATGATGGCCATTCTGACTGGTGTGAGGTGATACCTCATTGTAGTTTTGATTTTCATTTCTCTAATAATTAGTGATGTTGAGCATCTTTTCGTGTGCCTGCTGGCCATCTGTATGTCTTCTTTGGAGAAATGTCTATTTAGGTCTTCTGCCATTTTTTGATTGGGTTGTTTGTTTTTCTTGACATGAAATTTATTATTATTTTTTTAAGTTTCCTCCGATTTTATTAACTTAAGTACATTAAGTGGACTGTTTTAAGGGGGTTGGTGGAATTTTGGATGTGTTTGTTTTTCAGTATTGCATAGAAGTTAGTGTTTACTTTTTCAGGTTTTCATGTTCATTCAAATTAAAATTGTCATGCAAAGGACCACTATCAAATGGTTTGACCTAATAGACAGTTATAGAACCCTCCAATCAATAACAGCAGAGTACACATTCTTTGAAAGTGCACACAGAACATTTACCAAGGTAGACCATATTCTGGGCCATAAAATGAGTCTCAGTAAATTTAAAGGGATTCAATTCGTACCAAATATGTTCTCTGGCCACAATGAAATTGAAGTAGAAATCAATAACAGAAAGCTATCTGGAAAATCTCCAAATATTTGGAAGGTGAATCATACACTTCTAAATAACCCATGTGTCAAATAAGAAATCAAAGGGAAATTAGAAAATATTGTCCAGTTAACCCTTGAACAACACAACAATATAAATAAAAACCAAAGGCTGGTTCTCCTAGAAGATCAATAAAATTCATAAACCTTTAGTTTTGTTGGAGAAAAAAGAGAAGATACTAATTAAAAACGTTAGGACTGGGGACTTCCCTGGTGATCCAGTGGTTAGGATTCTGCACTCTCACTGCATGGGGCCCGGGTTTGATCCCTGGTCGGGGAACTAAGATCCCACAAGCTGCATGGCCCAGCCGAAAAAAAGGAAAGAAAAAGAAAAACAAATATTAGGACTGATAGAAGTGACATTACTACAGACCCCATAGATATTAAAAGGGTAATAAGGCAATATTATGAACAAGCTTATGCCAGTAAATTTGACAAATTAGATGAAATGGACAAATTCTTTGAAAAACACAAACTACCAAACTTTACTCAAGGAGAAATAGATAATCTGAGTAGCCCTGTGTTTATTAAAGAAATTGAATTGATAGTTAACAACATTTCCACAAAGAAAACTCCAGGCCCAGAAGGAATCACTAGTGAATTCTACCAAACACTTAAAGAAGAAATCATACCAATTCTACTCATCCCTGCCAGGCATTAACAGGGATCTCCCTGCTCCCACCCCGTAATGTCAATGGAGACTAAGTGGGAGCCTTTACTTCCACCCTCACCTGGCAGTCACAAGGTGCCTCTTCCACTTCCTGCTTGAGTGGAGAGACAAAACTTCTACCACCACTCCATGGTAATGAGGCCGTGCACCCTGGAGGTTGCTAAAGGCCACATGAGGAGCAGTGCCAAGATACCCCTGCCTCTCCCAGCTGAGGTGTTATCAGAGGAAACCTACTAAGGTGCAGAACTCCTACTTACCCAGCAGTAATGAGGAGCCTCTGCCTCCCTTGCGGTCCCCAGTGGGAAACCCAGACATCTGCTCCTACTTTGCAATAACCAGGCAGTACTGCTCCCTCCCTGTTGGAGCAGAGTCAGTGGAAGCCAGCTAAAATGAAGAGTTTAAATAAAATCCAAAGTCTTATAACATAATATCCAAAATATCTAGATTTCAGAAATCAAAAATGAATCATCACATCAAGAACAAGGAAAATCTCAACTTGAATGACAAAGGGCAGTGTAGGAGCACTGATGTGGACATGGCAGGGATATTAGAATTATCTGATGAGGATCTTAAAGAAACCATCATAAAAATGCTTTAACAAGCAATTACAAGCACATTTAGAAAAAATGAAAAAATAGTCTCAGGAAATAGAAGATATAAAGAAGAACCAAATGGAAATTTTAGAACTGAAAAATGTAATAACCAACATATTCAGTGGATGGATTCCTGAGCAGAATGGAGGAGACAGAGAAAAGAATCAGTGAACTTGAAGACACCAGTAGAAATGACACTATGTGAAAAACAGAAAAGAGACTGAAAGAAAAATGAACAGAACCTCAGAGACCAGTGGGACTATAACAGAATGCCTAATATTTATGTCACCAACGTTCTGGAATAGTTCTGGAAATAGTTCTGGAAATGTAGGGTGGAGGTGAAAAAGTACTCAAAGAGGTAATGGCTGAAAACTGGCCAAATTTGGCAAAAAACATAAGCTTACAGATTCAAGTAGCTGAGAAAGTCCACACAGGATAAACCCAAAGAAATTCACACCAAGACACATTATAGCCAAACTTCTGAAAACTAAAGAAAAAGAAAAAAATTTGAAAGCAGTGAGAAAGAAATGATACCTTACCATTAAGGAAAAAAATATTTTTTTAAAAAAACAACAGTTTTCTTATCAAAAACAAAACAAAACAGAGGCCAGAAGGAAGCGGCACAGCATTTTCCAAATGCTGAAATAACTGTTAACCCAAAATTCTATATCCAGAAAAAATGTCTTTATGGAATGAAGGTGAAATCAAGACCTTAGACCTACCTTAGAAGAATGGCTATAGGAATTTCTCTGAAGAGAAAGGAAATGATAAAAGGAAGAGTCTTGGAACATTAGGAAGAAAGAAAGAACAACTGTAAAAGTAAAACATGGTTAAATACAATAAATATTCCTTTTCCTTTTCCTTTCTCTCAGAGTTTTCAGAGTTGTGAAAAACTCACAGTTTTCTGAGTTGTGTTTGACGGTTGAAGCAAAAATTATATCACCACTGGGGAAACCTGAGTAAATGGTACAACGGTCTTATTTCTTACAAATGCATGTGAATCTCAAAAAGTTAAACTTTAAAAAATGGGCAAAAAGATTTGACCATTCAAATGGTCGAAGATACATATCTAAGGAGATACACAGATGGCAAAGAAGGACATGAATAAGGGGTGCAAGGTGATCAGTCACTAAGGAGATGAAGATTGAAACCATGAGGAGTTGCCTCTACACCAACTAGAATGGTTCAGACGTAAAAGGCTGACTCTGACACGTGTTGGGAGTGTGGAAGGGATGGACTTCTCACTCACTGGTTGTGGAAATGGAAGACGGCACAGTCACTTTAGAAACCAGTTTGGCAGTTTCTTAAAAAGTGAAGCAGAGACTTCCCTGGTGGCGCAGTGGTTAAGACTCCACGCTTCCAAAGCAGGGGGCACGGGTTCGATCCCTGGTCAGGGAACTGTATCCCACATCCACGCCGCAACTAAAGATCCCGCACACCCCAACGAAGATCACACATGCAGCAACGAAGATCCTGTGCGCTGCAACTAAGACCCAGCACAGCCAAATAAGTAAATAAATAATTTTTTTCTTTAAAGCACAAACCTACCATATGTCCCAGCCATCTTACTACTCCTTTTCCTTTTCCAAGAGAAAAAGAAAGTACGTGTCCATACAAAGACTTGTCCACACGTGTTCATAGCAACTTTATTTGAAATAGCCGAAATATAGAAACAGCCCAATAACAGGTGAGTGTATAAAGGAACAGTGGTATATCCATACAGTGGAAAACCACTCAGCAAGAAAAAAGAATGACCTATTGATGCACACAACAGTATGAATGAATCTTGAAATAATTCTACTGAGTGGAAAAAGGAAGACAGAAAAAAGAGCAAGGGCTGCATGATTCCACTGATGAAAATCCCAAAACCTAATCCCTGGTGACATGCAGATCCTTACTTGTCCCCTCTCTCTACGTCTCTGTTTTTGCTGCCCCATCTCGTCTGCATTTAGATGTGCTTGTCTTTCTCCCTGTTAAGGATGCTGTCTCTCAGCCTCCCAGCCCGGGCGCTGCTTTTCTCACCCTGCGCTCTCTGGCATCGGTCCCTCTCCTAACCTCTGCTGCGTCTCAGCTGTCCCCCGTGAGCTCCAAGCCCTGCAGGGGCTGGGGGACGTGTCTGCTTGGCCATCACAAACACCCTCTCATTGGCCAGGCCCAGCGTCGGCCCCTCTTCTGCCTTTCACACCACGTCCTCCTCCTCTCAGCGATGCACCAGCACCCTCTCCATGGCCCAGGCCAGGAACCCAGGTGTCCTTTGGTTTTCACTTCTCATGTCTAGTTTATCACAAGCCCTATTCACTCTTCTTAAATATATTATTCTTGAATAAGTTCATTCATTCCTGAATTCCCAGCATCCAGCACAGTGCTGACGATGTAGGCAATTACTGTCTGTTAGTGAACGAAAGGACAGGTATCCTGCAAACGCATCTGATTCCCTGCATTCCAGCCACTTCTGTTTCAAGCTGCCATCCTCTTGCTCCTGAAGGATCCCAACAGCTTCCTAATGGGCTGCTCTTCTCGTCTTCCCAGTCTTTTTCCCGTACTTCAAACAATCACATTGAACTGTGTTAGTCCCCTGCTGAAACCTCCACTGGTTCTCCATTGCTCTCAGGCTAAAAAGTGCAGACATTACCCTGGCTTTGAAAGCACTGCATTTTCTCTGGCCCCGGCCTGCCTCTATCCTGACTGTCTGCCATGCTCCCTCTGTGCCGTCTGTCCTGTCACATGCAGCTTCCCACAGCTGTCCTGCCCTGGCCCACTCCTCCAACCTGTGGGTCTTCACCCTCAGTGTTTCCTCTGCTCCGGGAGCTCCTGCCCTGCCTCCATGGAGAACGCTTAACCTCTCCTCTGGCTGCAGCTTGGCCATCACTTCCTCTGGACCTCCGCCCTTCCTCCTGTGTGGCATTGTGCACGGAGAGGTACCCTCCCCTGGGTCTTCGCCCAGTCCTGCGCTGGACCATGGGGGCCTCCAGCAGCCTGTGTGCATTGGCACCTGGCGGGCGTCCCGTGAATATTCGAGTGAGGAAAAGACAACAACCCGAACAGTGCTACTGACTATAGTAAAAGCACGCTTTATTTCTATCTGACAAGAAGAATGTTTTTTAATACCATAAATAGGTTTAAATTTGGTGTTATTTAAGGTTTTTCATTTGCTCTGATTTCAGATTGAAGAAGAAATAAAAGGGTGTTTGCAGTTTTTGCAATCCGTTTACTCAACATTTGGCTTCTCCTTTCAATTAAATTTGTCAACAAGACCTGAAAACTTTCTAGGGGAGGTTGAGATATGGGATGAAGCTGAAAAGGTAGGGAGAAACAAAGTGTTACCCTTCATTTTTGTGAATATGGAAAATACCTTGCATGAGGATGCGATGCTTTGCAATGGAAACTTAAAATTGGAAGTTCTGGGATAAACGTGCCCATTGTAGAATTTTGTTAATCCAGTTTTCTTCAAAACAATGCTAAGAGCAGTACCTTACATTTGCTTCACACCTTAGTTTATATCAGGTTTCCATTTATACTCTTTTCAGTGCTGGTCACTAATAACCAATTTCATAAGCTTTTAAAGAAGTTCTCTGGCTCCTTCTTCAGCAGCTCTTGTTTGGCCTCTGCCACTGGAACTGATGTACGTCCTTCAGCTCCTTGGAGCTGGATTAACCTCAAACCTCTGTTGGGGGCTTCCCTGGTGGCGCAGTGTTTAAGAACCCGCCTGCCAGTGCAGGGGACACGCGTTCGAGCCCTGGTCCAGGAAGATCCCACATGCCATGGAGCAACTAAGCCCATGCACCACAACTACTGAAGCCCACACACCTAGAGCCCATGAGCCACAACTACTGAAGCCCGTGTGTCTAGAGCCCGTGCTCCACAACAAGAGAAGCCACCACAATTAGAAGCCCACGCACCGCAATGAAGAGTAGCCCCTGCTCACCACAGCTAGAGAAAGCCCGTGTGCAGCAATGAAGACCCAATGAAACAAAAAATAAATAAATAAATAATTTTTTAAAAAAAACCTCTCTTGGGTCCCACTTTCCCAGAGTTGCAGTGAGTCATTAGATCCTTAAGAACATTCCAGCCCCTCCCACATAAGCACAAGCAAACTGATGTGTCCGAAACCCAGCATGTCCCACAGTCTAGACCCTAGTGCTCTTGGGAGCCAGAGACCTGGCATGCGTGGGGCAGGACAGACAGCAGGGAGAAGAGGTGCCGGGCAGTGTCCCCGGGCCAGTCCTGGGAGCGGCAGTTCCAGCACTGCCCAGACGTCCCCTCTCCCCAGACCTCGTGTCAACCGGAAGCTTTCTTGGCCTCGGCCCCTCCCATCAGCCCTTCCTATCCCGGTGTCCCCAGGGAGAGGACAGAGCAGTGGACGCAGTGACCTCTGCTGTATGCTCTTCCCCCAAACCTGGCCTTTCTTTTGCTTTTAATTCCCTGGGAGTCCCTACAATTGCTGTTACCTGCTGTAGCAGGGCCTTGTTTTGTCTGAGAACATGGTTTCACAGTCTCTTCTCCCTTCAGAAACAAAGTCGGGGGAGGGCAGCTCCAGCTTGTGAAGTGCATCTGTGCAGGTGGCCTTCCCAGCCCTGAGCACAAGGGAAGCCTCTGCAGGAGGGTTGGGTCCCTGAGGGACCCCCTGGGGTCTGGCCAGGAGCAGCTCCTGACCTGCTCTGATTGAGGCCCTGGAGGAGGCTTTCTGGGTGATGCTGGCCTGGCCCAGGACACCACCGCGGCTTTCCTTCCCTGTCGGGCACTTCACTCCCAAATGTCACCCCCCTCACGGCTCCAGTGCGCTGGGGTGATGACAGGGGTCTGGCTGCTGTTCTGACATTCTTCTGGCCAGGGCCTTAGGGATGCCTGGGTGCTTCCCAGAGAAGCCATTTTCACAGGGAGTGGCCAGAAGACTCAAAGAGCCCTATCACTAATACTCGTGTGCACGCCCCGTCACCGTCAGTGTGGAGCGGCCTCACTGTGTGCTAACTTAGGTGACTTTACGTGGCTTAGTCTGGAGACCAGAGTGGGCCTCACGCTTCCACAGCCTCCGTGTCCCAAGGGGCCCTGCCCACCAGCTGCAGGCACAGAGGTGGAGGAGAAGCAAGAGCAAGTGCAAGGCCTGTCCCCCAGTCTTCTGAGCACAGAGTGCACGAGGAACAAGGCCCCAGCTTTCTTGCCTTTTATGGTGTGGAGGCGCCTCCTGAAAGGAGCTAGAGAGAGTAGGGCAGAGGGAGCCTGCACGGCGGAAGTGCCCAAAGTACCCCTCTATCACTTACCTGGAATTCAGTGGAACAGTTTAGTAAGTTATCTTTTTTCTCCCCCAATTAAAATGTGTATGTTTCTTGAGAGTAAGTACCATCTTAATTTTCTTTACATAGTCGTTGCTCAGTAGTTTATTGAATATAGAAGAGGTTCAATAAGTATATGGTGATTAAGTGTAAGTAATGTTCTCTTCTTATTAAAAAAATAGCAACTACAGAATAGCTTGATGGAATTTGGGAAACCATGGAAGATGAACCCGGGAGATGGAGCATTTTATGGTCCTAAAGTAAGTAGGCCATATGCTTCAAAAAAAGTAAAATTTAACAGAAAAATAAAACCTGTCTCTAAGCAAACATCATTTAATTTACAGATTGATATAAAAATCAAGGATGCTATTGGCAGATACCATCAGTGTGCTACAATTCAGCTGGACTTCCAACTGCCTGTAAGATTTAATCTTACGTATGTTAGGTGAGTGATTGAATGTGATAAATAATGTAGGACTCATATCTTAATTATTGTCATTTGAGCATTAGCAGTACAGAAACAAGTGTCAGTGAATGTCTGTCTGTGTGCAAGATACTCAGTATGTATTTGTTTACCTGCTTGTAATCTAGTTGGAGGTCAGCTTTAGTTTTCTGGTTAGAGCTATGAACAAACGACGTGGAAACATGACCCAAACAGAGAAATCTCCCTGAGGCAGAGGGGGAGACTTCATAAAGGGCTGACCCTGGGTCTGTGTCTTAAGGATGGTATTTACCAGGGAAAGCAGAGGAAAAAAGGCAGTTTCATCACTGCAAACCAACAACTCCTTTAAAAATTTTTTTCTTAACTCACAGTAAAGTTGACTTTGTGTGTATATGTGTGTGTGTGTACAGTTCTGTAAGTTTTAAACATCGTATAGAGTGGTGTGCCCACCACCACGATTGTGATTCCATCAGGCAAGCAAATTCCTGTGCTGTTCCTTTACAGTCACACTCTCCTCCCACCCCAGCCCTGGGCAGCCACTGACCTCTCCATCACTTTCCCAGAATTCCACAGAAGTGGGATCATACTGTATATCACCTTTTGAGGGTGGCTCTTCCTGTCAAGGGTGTGCATGGCATCAATGTGACTTGTCAGCAGTGATGTAACCTCCATCACTTGGTTAAAATAAAGTTTGCCAGATTTCCCCACTGCAGTTACTGTTAATTCCCTTTCCATAATCTGTTTTTTGGAATTGAGATTTTCCTGGTGATGAATATGCTGAGTAGGTTTGAATTGCATCCCAGACATTGTTAATATTATATTGTGAGCTGCTGGGTCTTGTTTAAATCCTAAGGGGATTGTTGACTTTTTAGCAGTCATTCTGCCTGGGCAGGTTCAGGCTGTAATTTCTAACCCGCCTTCTGTGGTTCCAGCGTCAGCTCAGTTTTCTGAGCCTATACAGTCAACCCTCTGTATCCATATCTGTATCCGTATCTGTGAAGCCCATGGATATGGAGGGCCGACTGGGCTCACTGTACCAGCCATTGTATATAAGGGATATGAGCGTCTGTGGATCTTGGCCTCAGCGAGGCCTTCTGTCCTGTGTGCACCACCCAGGGGCAAAGTCCCACAGTCCAATTCTCAAGCCTTTTATGTGCTGTTAGGGTTGGATCCAAGCATGTGCGATGAGAGGTGAGGCCAGCGAGCTCATACACCCCTTTATGGGGCAGCTCTTCTGCGCCCCCTGCTCTCTGTATTTTCCTGACACTTTTTGGTTCCCTGAAGTCCCTTTCTGTAGTCCTGTGGCCAGAACGCTGGGCTTTAGCTTCCCTGCTCCGTATGCTGTTTCCAGGGCTATCTGTTTCAGAGACCAGGCATCAGGAGGCCAGCCAGAGAGAGAGAGCACAGGGATTCACGTATGCTTGGGATCACAGCTGTTCGGGTTGGAGAGAAGGATCCCCTTCCTTGGAGTTTTAGGTGCCTGTTTAGTCTCTGTGCCACTGTGGGAATGCTGGGGGCTGGAGGAAGAGAGGAGAAAAAAGAAACAGAAGAAAACTCCAGGACGTCCCCCACCCCCACTTTTTCTGAAACTTAGCAGTTATTTTCTGGCTCTTGGCCAGAAAGTGAGGATTTCTCTTGAAGCTTTTCCTGTCTGCACCTGGTATGTATGCTTGCTTGTGGGCTGTCTCTGAGTCCAGGCCACACAAACTGGAAGACAAAATTACAAAAAACAAAGTGCAGTTTGGTGGCACTGCAGATTCTGGTCTTCTTCGGCAATCCCCCGGCACCAGTCACTCCTCCCAGCCCTCGGGTGGCTGTTCTTCATGTTCTCTCCAGGGTCCACGTCTGCGTTCAGAGAGAGAGTCAGGTGTGGCATGCTTACTTCATTCTGCCTGGAAGCAGCTTCTTTTTAAAGACCCTTCCACTGACTTGAATTAGACAAAAATCACAACATCATTTCTTTAAACTCTCCCCTTCTCACCATGTCCTGTTTTAGACATGTGGTGTTGGTTAGATAATGTGTTGAGATCTCTTTCACTCAAGATTATTAATTTAAAAAATTAATTTAAAAAGGAAAAATTATTGGCATATTTTAAGTCTAATAATTTTTAATAGAATATTTTCCTAATAAGATTCTTATAATAAATGAACAACCACCAATTTCGCAGAGTGTAGGATTTTATGCAGTGATCTCAATTTATGTTCAACCAACAAAAATTTTATTTCGGATTCTCCAACTTGTGTTTTGATTAATGGTTATAGAGCTACACTGAGAGTTACATCCTGTGAGAAGGTAAAGAGCTGAAGAATAGTTGAAGTGTTCATACAGGGAGTTACATCAGGACATGAGAATAATAAAAATTCTCAAAGGTTAAAGGGGAAAGCACGGAACTTTCAAGAATAAATTCAGGCCTTTTGGAAAAGATGGTGTCTTAAGTTCATATTTGCAAAATCATCTTTCCCCAGTAACCTACCAAAATGAACAAAAGGAATTAGGGGTAGGGGGACTTTATGCAAAAATGACCCAACTAGTGCAACAAAATTTGAACACTACTAGCCATCCAAGGGGGATGTGGAGGAGCAGTAGATCAGGCAAGCCATCCACCCATCCATCCATCTACCCATCCACCCATCCATCCATCCACCCATCCACCCACCCACCCACCGATCCACCCACTCATCCACCCATCCATCCTTCCATCCATCCACCCATCCACCCACCCATCCACCCACCCATCCACCCATCCACCCATCCATCCATCCATCCATCCACCCATCCATCCATCCATCCACCCATCCATCCATCCACCCACCACCCACCCATCCACCCATCCACCCATCCATCCATCCACCCATCCATCCACCCATCCATCCATCCACCCATCCACCCATCCATCCATCCACCTACCCAGCAACCCATCCATCCATCCATCCACCCACCCATCCACCCATCCATCCATCCATCCATCCATCCATCCATCCATCCATCCATCATCCTAGGTGTTGTGTGGACAGTGGGGACTGGAAAGCAGAAGTGGAAGCAGTGGTCTGTAGGCCAGGTAAGAGATGATGACAGAACGTGGTGACAGTGATACATAGAGATGAGAAAAGTGGAGGTATTTGGGGTATATTTTGGAGGTAGAACCAATGCGATCTATTTGTGGCTTAGATATGAGGGGAGAAGAGGGAAGGAGCAGCGAGTTCATCACCTTGATCCAGTAAGTTTTTTACCCAAGAAAGCAGGGGTGGTTTTGGACTTCCCTGGTGGTCCAGTGCTTAAGACTCCACACTCCCAATGCAGGGGGCCTGGGTTTGATCCCTGGTCAGGGAACTAGATCCCGCATGCTGCAACTAAAGATTCCACATGCTGCCAGGAAGATCCCACACACAGCAACCTCAGCTAAGACCTAGGTGCAGCCAAATAAATAAATATTAAAAAAAAAAAAAGAAAGCAGGGGTAGTTTAACATTACGAAGTGTATTGTCACCCATTACCTTCAACAGCACTGAAAGGCATTGGATAAACTGTAACATTCATTCCTGTGAGAGGAACAGAAATAAATTTTCCTGTAATGGTAAGGAGTATTTATTAGAAAACAACAATAACATCTCTACTTAGTTGAGAAGAAGGTGACTAGCCTATTTGTACTCTTACTCACAGTTGTTCTGGGATATGTAGACATATTGAAATAAAGAGCCAAATTTTCATTGTATGTAGATGCTAAGATGTCTAGAAATCCAATAGAATCAGATGGAGAAAAATTAAAACTGATAATAAAGTAAGGTACCTAGCAATAAGGTCAAAATGCAAACATCAATTTGCTTTCATATATATTAGTGACAACCTGCTAAGAAGTGCAATGGAAAAAAAATTTCAGAAACAGTAACAGCAACAATAACAAAAACCAAGCAGAGGGGCTTCCCCAGTGGTGCAGTGGTTAAGAATCCTCCTGCCAATGCAGGGGCCTGGGAAGATCCCACATGCAGCGAAGCAGCTAATCCTGTGTGCCACAACTATTGAGCCTGTGTGCCACAACTACTGAAGCCCACGTGCCTAGAGCCTGTGCTCCGCAACAAGAGAAGCCACCACAATGAGAAGCCTGCGCACCTCAATGAAGAGTAGCCCCTGCTCGCCACAACTAGAGAAAGCCCGCACACAGCAATGAAGACCCAACACAGCCAAAAATAAATAAATAAAATAAATTTAAAAAAAAAACAAGCAAAATATCTAGGACTAAACAAGGAATATAAATATATAATATTTATTTGAAATATATACCATAAAACTTTATCAAAGGCAAAAAAAACCAGTTGTTTAAATGAAGATTCACACCACTGTTGGACTGGGAAGAATCAATATTGTGAAGATACGAATTCTCTTCAAATGTATCTCTAAATCTAATGTAATTCCAACTAAATCCACGAGGATTGTTTGGGGGAACTTGTCATTAATTCTAATGTTTACCTGAAAGTATAGATGTGTAAGCATAGTTTAGGTCACTCTTTGCCCTTCTTAAGACTAGACCTGATTTTAATTCTTTTAAAATAAATGATGGGACAGAAATTTCTGGTACCCAGGGGCCTGTGAAAGGATCATGCTGCTTCTCTTTCATTCCCTACACAGGCAACATTATGCGACATTCAGGAATATACCATGCTGTTTCCAGTTTGTAGAATGAATTATTTCTTCACATATCTGAGCAGGACTGGACTCAGGCCCCCCAGCCCCACCCCAAAGCTTCTGTAGGATCTGACAGAGGATTTGGCCTGCAGTCAGTCTGCCGTGGCTCTTAGCAGAAATGATTGGCAATGACGATGTCCAATGAAAACTCTTTTGAAGTGAGTTTAATGAATGAGTCTCTGTTTTTATTTGTTTGTTTGCCCTGTGTGTATATGTGTTTTAGTAGTAAATAGCTGGTACAACGTTTAGATAAAAATTTGTCCTAAGAACTTTGTAAGCATCACATATTATTACATTTGTTGCAGTAATGTGAAATTTATCTTTCTGGGAAAAGTGTGCACAGATCTTGGAGTGCCTGACTTTATTACAATTAACAGTTGTAATTTGCTTTTTACATCTTTTTCTGAAAGGGAGGAGAGAATTCTCAAATGTAAGGAGAATGTCATGAAGGTTTCAGGTCTGTAAACGGAATTTGACCAGTGGACTTCTGGAACAAGTATCAGGAACATTTTGAAATATATCAGTAGTATGGGGGCATAGTGTTTACAATATGGCAGTGTGTTTACAGTGGATGGTGTCAGGAATGGGTGCATTTGGACCAAACCAGGTTGGCTGTGAGTTGACATTTGCTGATGCTGAGAAAGGGTTATGTGGGAGTTCATTATACTATTCTCTCTACTTTTGTATATGTTTTCAATATTCTCTAATAACTTCTAACTAACTAAGGTTGGTAAATTTTTTGCCAGCCACGGTGGTCATACCATTAACTCAAACTAATAGAATACCAACATATTCTATTACAGACTACAGAAACCCATTTTCTTTATTTTTGCAATGTCTTTGATAATTGTTCAATAAATTAGTGGTGAAGTAAGCCATAGTTCAAAATAAAGTTAATTTTAAAAATATGATTTGTAAAATTGCCTCTCAATATGAGTAAACTGGTAGTTTCAAATAAAACTGGTAGTTTAGAATAATCAGTAGATTTGTAATAGAGATAGTGATCTAATATCACGTTGCTTTTTCCTAGATGATATATTTTAATTCCCTTTGGTTTATAAAAGGTACCATAGGGCTTCCCTGGTGGCGCAGTGGTTAAGAATCCACCTGCCAATGCAGGGGACACGGGTTCAAGCCCTGGTCCGGGAAGATCCCACATGCCGCGGAGCAACTAAGCCTGTGTGCCACAACTACTGAAGCCTGCGCGCTTAGAGCTCATGCTTTGCAACAAGAGAAGCCACCACAATGAGAAGCCCGTGCACCGCAACGAAGAGTAGCCCCCACTCGCTGCAACTAGAGAAAGCCCACATGCAGCAACAAAGACCTAATGCAGCCAAAAATAAATAAATTTTAAAAATACTAAACTATTAAAAAAATAAGAAACATAATGCAAAATCTCTTTAAAAAAATAAAAGATACCATAATTTGAAAGAAAAAAAACCTTTATTTCTAATTAATGGCACATTTATGTTTAAAGATAATTTATGAGTAATCTATTGTTTTACCTAGTTTGGGAAAATACCTTTTAAATATAAGGTAAGAAGATAAAGTTATTTATGAATCTTAAGAGAATAATTAAATGTATAATTTTCATTTTTTTAGTAAGGATGGGGATGATAAGAAGAACCCTGTGATCATTCATCGAGCCATTTTGGGGTCAGTGGAAAGAATGATAGCCATTCTCTCAGAAAACTATGGAGGAAAATGGTAAGTGATATGGAAAAGAAAAGCTATATGTCTACTGTTCTTAAAAATCATGTCTAAAAGATGAAATTAATATGAAAAAATTGGTGGCTCTTGCCTTATAATTAGCAAGTATCCAAACAGCAAATAAAAATTTTTGTGGCATCTGCCAGACCAGAAAACAAAACAAAGAAAACAAAGGCAGCGTGGCATAACACTATCATTTACCTTTTTGGGATCTCAGTAAAATTAAAGAGTAACCTTTTCACCTGTGTCAAACAAACCCCTCAAAGATCTAGCCGCTGGAACACATATGGCCCAAACTCTCAGGGCACCATCTCTAGCTGTACTGCCCTCCTTCCTTCCGCTATGCTGTTGACCTCACAGCCCCGTGACCACAGACTTAGGAGGAAACATGTAAGCCTGGTTCACACATGGCCCCAAAGCCAAAGAGAACCGCTGCAGTGGCATCCCCCTCCAGGGATGGAGGGGGAAGGTGAATGCCCTAAGTGCAGGCTTTTGAGTGGTACGTCTGGTCACCTTCTGTGCCTGGAGGGAAAAGTGGCCAGATGGGGGTTACATTGATGCGTGGGATCTGGTTATTGCTTTGGCCACAGGGTCAGAGACTTAAGAGATAATTAGGTTGGAAACCAGATGACAAGTAGATTTGGTATGTGGATGGTCACTCAGAATGGGCCATGGGGATGGTATTGCCCGAGTCTGTGTCTGTCCCTTAGATTTTATTTGCAATCCTAGAGAAATATACTGAGGTGTCATGGGGGTGTCCAATCTATTACAGGTACGGAGAATCCAAAACTGTAGCTATGAGTGTGTGTGTGTGTGAATTAACATGTTTATATTTCTCTCCAGTTGATTCTGTTGTAAATAGTTAACATAGTGAGAGATGGTGGGTCTTGCAAGAGAGCAGTAGAACTAGGGGATCAGGAGATGGTGTGGGCACACCTCCCTGTGGAGACACAGTACCACCCTCCACAGTTTACACAGCAAGCCTTTGGACACCTACCAAGTTGTGGTGGAAATCTCCCTGAGAAAAAAATAGAAATGTTTAAAATGTGGCTCTCTTGAGTTGGTAGGGCTGAAGCAGGGGTGAGAACAGAGCTCAAAAAGATACATTTACTTTTCATTTTATAATCTGTATCTCATCATGTATATAATTACATTTGTCACATGTATTATTTTGCTTTTGTAATTTAAGAATAAGTATGTAAAAACATATATGCACGAAGTGCCATCTGGTAATAGTCCCCGTGCATTTCCTTCCACCTTCAAACTAAACATGCTGAAGAAAAAGGCAAACATTTCCCACATCAAACATTGCTTATACTCACCTTTCCATCTTTTAAAACATTTTCATTTTGAGATAACTGTAGAATCATTTACAAAGAGGTCCAGCACACCTTTTACCAGTTTTCCCCAATGGTAACATCTTGCAGAACTGTATACAACTTAACTGGGGAGTGACAATCCACCAACCTCATTCAGGTCTTGCATTTGTGCACACGTTGTAGATTTGTGTACCCGCCAGTCAAGGTACAGGACAGTTCCATTACTTATAAGGATCCCTCATGCTGCCGTTTATTTTATGGCCACACACCTCCTACCCCATCCCTGTCACCATCCTCCGGCAGCCACTCATCTGGTCTCCATCTTCATAATTTTGTCATTTCCATAATGTTACATAAATGGAATCACAGCGTGCAGCCGTTGGAGACTGACTTTTTTCACTCCTTGGATGGAGTTGCCTTGAGATGCATCCGAGGCATCTCAAGTACCGGTCGTTGGCTCCCTTTCACTACTGATGGTGTTCTGTAGTGTGATGCACAGTTTGAGCATTCACTCGCTGAAGGGCATTTCGGATATTTCCAGTTTGGGGCTATTATACGTAAAGCTGCTATAAATGTTAGTGTGCAGGTTTTTGTGTGAACATGTTTCCATTTCTCTGGGATAAATACCCAGGAGAGCGGTTGCTGGGTTGTATTGTCAGTGATGTTTAGCCCTTTCATCTAGCTGCCAACCTGTTTTCCCTCCCTTTCCAACCAAAATGCCCAGTTTCCCCTTTTGTCTCCTCTATTGCCTTTTAATATAGTTTGCTTTATTTCCACACCCCTCTACTGAACCTGCTCTCTTGTGAAGTCTTACTTAAAAAGAAAAAAGAGTCTTTGGTTGTTTTTTAATCTTGTAATAAATGGTCATTTTAAAAATACGTATTATATTTTTCAGGCCTTTCTGGCTGTCTCCTCGTCAGGTAATGGTCATCCCTGTGGAGCCAACTTGTGAAAAATATGCACTTCAGGTAAAATTAGAGACATTTAAAGTACATAATCTTGGCATGTGGTCTGTGAACGTCATTGACTTGGAATTCGCACCTTAAAATATTGCATAACTAATACATTAATTTACCACCTCATGTTTTCAATAAATGTTTTCAGTAACACCTGAGTCGTGTCTATGTAGCTGTATCAGAACTATTTTATTTCTTAATGTTTTTGAGAAATTGGTGTTTTAAAACATCTCATAGTTATTCTTTTCCTCGTGGCTCTATTAGGAAGAATACTTATATTATCTGTTGCTGTGTAACAAATTACCCCAAAACTTGGCAGCTTAGAACAATAAGCATTTATTATCTCAGTTTCTGTGAGTCAGAATCTGGGACAACTTGGCTGGGGACTCTGGCTCGGGTGCCTGGTGAGGCTTCTCAGAGGTCGAGGCAGGGGGAGTGACTCAGCACTTTAACCTCATCTCAGAAGTGGGGTGCCATCACTCTCCCTCCACTGTGGTCACAGAGACCAACCTGGTACAAGGTGGAGGGGACACACAAGGGTGTGAATACCGGGGGGTGGGACCCTGGGGGTCATCTTGGAGGCTGGCCACCACATTACCATACGCAATGTATTAATGAAAGTGTCTCATTCTCTTATAGGTATCCACTGAATTTTTTGAAGAAGGATTCATGGCTGATGTTGACTTAGATCATAGTTGTACACTAAATAAGAAAATACAAAATGCACAGCTGGATCAGTATAATTTTATTTTGGGTAATCTAAATTTGTATATATTTTTCCCAAATGCTTGTTTTTTCACCTTAATTCCAAAAAACCCCAAAAAACAAAGAATATGGTATAACTGCTTGATTATGACAAATAGCTGTTGAATACTTATACACAAAGAAGAGTCTGTGATGTTCCTGGCTAGATACTTTTTGTTATTTGCCAGAAAAGAAGAGTTACGAAGTTTCACATGGATCCTGTGGTGTAGTATTACTAGGAAGAATTAATAACTCAAACTGACAGTGGAACATGATCTTATCAGTAGAATTATACTCTGTATGTTTCAGTCATGTGATAGGCCTGAAATAATCTCCTTTGCTTTTCTGGTTTATTAGAAATCTTTAGGATTAAACTAATGACTAGGAGATGTTCCAAATTTAAGATGATCAAAAGAAAAGAATTAAGTGAAAAAATAAAACGTCCTTGAGGAACATGAGTAATTAGATGCAGAATCTAAAATTTTGACTGTAAAAATGATTCAAAATCAAGGGAAACTTATTTATATGCCTGCAGGCATGATATGGTTATGTCCTATAAGTTGAAAGTTTGTGTAGAAGGCAAAATAAATATGCACAGGGCTGTCCTATGAGCAATTTGTCATCAAAAGTGTTTGTAGTAGGTACTGTGATGCTTCAATCAGCCTTCTTGTGGTGACAGAAATTTCAAATTAGCTTAGACACGATGGAATGTATTGGAAGGGAGTTAGAGTATCTCGTGCCATGGAAGGTAGAATTAAGTAGCCAAATCATTAGAAAAGTAACTGGAAGGGGAACTCAACCCTTACCAGGACCATTTCTCCCCATTTCTGTTCCCTGTTTTGATCTGCTGCTTTATGCTTCTCTTGATCTACTTTATTCCCCTTACTTGCTGGCCAGTATCTTCGTTCCAGACAGCAAGAAACATGGCGGCAGAATTCTGCATCATCTCACAGTATGGGTCATTAGCGAGAACAAACCTTTTACATATATTCCAGAAAATTCTGTTGGCTGGTTGGGCACATGTCTGGTGCCCGCCTCTTGATTCATCAAGTGTGCCAGGTGGAGTCAGGGGGTCTTTAGGAACTCCCTCCTCCCACCTGTACCCCACGACCACCACAGGTGTTCTCAAAAATGGACAATAGAGAGATGGGATTAGAAGTCATTCCTTGTCTCAAGAAATTTACTCTTAAGAGGATGACCAAATGGACATTAGATTGATATTTGGTGATTAGTACTAAGAAGAAAACTTAATAAGACACATGCCATATGACTGCTGACTTAATATTTAGTAAATTGTTGATTGTAAATGTATTTCCCTTTGTTTTCTACAGTCGTTGGAGAAAAGGAAAAGACAAATAATGCCGTAAATGTTCGAACAAGAGACAACAAAATTCATGGAGAGATTTCAGTAACTTCTGCCATTGATAAATTGAAGAATCTCAAGAAATCACGTACTCTGAATGCTGAGGAAGAATTCTGAAGTCCTTTCCTTGTGCTCACATCTGTGTAACCTTGTTCTGAACCCTGAACATGCATTTTCCTTAATTACCATTCATACTTCTGAGAACTTAGGACCCACTATCTGGTCCACTGATGGGCACAGTGAGAAGTGAGATGGGGAATGAGTGGCTGATATGCACAAAATCTGATTCACTAATGTGTCTGCGGACAATGAGACGACAAGTGTGGGAAATTTTAAATTTCCCAAATATCTTGAGAGACTTCAATGGGAAAATGTCATTCATCAAAGAGGGAAATACTAGGAAATGAGCATTATGAGATGTTACTGTTAAGAATTCTGATTTTCAAAAGATAAGTTTCAAAAGTCTGCAAAGCTTTTTGAATATGGGGTGATATCTTATTTTCTAATAACATTATGCCTCAGGTATTTTTTAACTGAAGTTTTACTAAAGTTCGCACTGAAACTTTATTTTTCTTATTTTTGGCTACACCCCACAGCATGTGGAACTTCCCTTACCAGGGATCAAACCCATGCCCCCTGAAGTGGAAAAGTGGAGTCTTAACCTCTGGACCACTAGGGAGGTCCTGAAACTTTATTTTCAAAATCAGAATCAGTTTGTTTTAACCAACCAACAATCACAAAAGAAGAAGCTAGTACTAAATATTGGATTACTAACAAAGGATTCTGAACTCAAAGAAATTCAGTGTTGTGCAAATCTTCTGTAGTTTCCACTATAGGATAAGAGTTGCCATTTTAATACTTCTAAATGACAATTGAACCTTATTTATCTTTAGAAAAAATAAACTCTCAAATAAAATGTGTTATGTAGTGCTTCCAGGGTTTCACCTATAGGTTTATACCATAATAATTTGCTCCCCTAGAGTTAAATTACTCTTCTGATGGGATGACATTCCACTGATTTACAGACTCAAGTGGATTTCTGATTTTAACTGAGAAAAATACCTTACTGCTCAAAACAATTAAAATGGCTTTATGTCAGTAGTGAATTTAGCTACCAATCAAGCAGTATTTTTTGTGTTTATTTGGTTATGTGCTGTGGAATTCAAAATAAATTTAAGACCTGCTCTCTCTTCTGTACACGCTTATCATTTAGCTTCCTGAAGAGTTGGAAGACAAACCAGCAGGGCTGACCGTGAACAACAGGATTGAACTGCACGGGTCCACTTACTCGTGGGTTTTTTTCAATAGCAAATACTAGAGTATACACAGTCCTACCCGCAGTTGGTGGAATCTAAGGAGGTGGAGTCACCGATAGGGAAGAACCGAATGAGGAGGGCCTGCTCTAAGTTACACTGCGCCCCTCACCCCAAAGTTGTTCAAGGGTCAGGCCTGTGTGATGGAAGGTGCAGATTGTGTGATGTACCTGTTTAAGCTAACTTTAATTGAGGCCAAGCACTATTCGATACATTCCTTGAATTCACCAAACGTGCTAGTGAGGCAGGGGGCGTCAGAAGACTCCCCATCCCCACCCCAGACAACCTTGTGTTGGGTGGGCGGGGAGAGGGAAGCCCGTGCTCAGCCCAGCACGAATGTTGCTGCGGTGGGAACAGGTGCGGTGGGAACAGGTGCGGATCGCTGTGCCGGCCGCAGGGAGCCGCGGCCTGGGAGCAGCTCCCTCCCGGGGCGGGCCGCCTCCAGGGGTGTGGGGGCCTGACACCCGCGGCCGCACTTCAGTCCGGCTTCTCCCCGCCTTCGAGGAGCGTCTCTGAGGACTGGTTAGACATCTGAGCAGGGCGGGCCTGGAGAGATGCTCGCGGGACGCTGCCCGGGCCCTGGGGTCGCGGGGAGTGGGTCCTTGGGGGCCACCTGGCACACCTGGGGTCCTTACCGAGCAGTCTGGGCCAGTTTCCTCATCTGTAAACAAGAGGCTTTTTAGTCTGACAAAAACGTAACGTCGTCAAACCTCCGCACGGTACCAAGCGCACAGCAGCAGTTTTTGTCTCTAAACGTACAGATCCGGCCACAGGTATACAGCGGCCAACTTCCCACATTTCCCCCCCTCTGCTCTCGATCCCTCAGGTGTGACTTTCGGGGTCCAGGTGACCTTTCCGTGTCTCCATCCGCCGGGGGAGAGGTGAACGCCTTGTCACAGGCGCTGGCAGCCCTAGGAGGCGGGGCGCGGGGAACTTGGGAGGAGGGGCCGCGCCTGCGCCGTGAACCCCCTCCCCCCCCACTCCTCTCGGCCCGGCGTCCCCCGCGGCCCGGAAGTGTTTCCTCTGGCAAGATGGCGCGTGCAGGGGTCCTGCTGTGGGACCTACGCCGCCTGTGTCGAGTGCTGCTATTCCTTTCGCAGTTCTACATCCTCTCGGGCGGCGGTGAGTTGGGGGCAGGGGTCTGCGCCGGGCCGGGCTGAGGGGTGGGGAACCCAGGACCGCGAGGACCGTCGGCCTGGGCCCTTGGGCGGAGGCTGAGTGCGGGCGGAGGGCGCGGGTTGCTACAGCCGAGTCCGGCTCGTCCTGCCGCCGCGCCTCGGCTCAGGGAGCCGGAGCCGCGAGCCTCGAACTGTGGGCCTGGGGGCTCGGCCTGGGACGCGGAGCTGGGTCTCGGCACCGCGCGTCGTCTCCAGTTGCCCGCAGACCTAAATTGGTGTCGACCCCATTGGGTTTCATGTTCAGTTTCCCGGCGGTCAGGCCGAGATGTTTGCCCGAGCAGCTGTGGGCCTGGCGCGATACACACATAGCCTGAGGTCTTCGTTTCTCTAATCATAGGATCCTTCAGTGTAGAGCCTTCGCAGCCGCTGGCTCAGTCCGACAAGGATCCGGGCCCCACACGTACGTTCACAGTAGTGCCCAGGGCAGCAGGTACTAGACGTTTTCTCTTCTAGTAAACGTGTATATTTGTATCTAGTGGTCTCTTTCTTTTCTTTTTGGATAAAATTTCTTGTAGAATATGACATCATTTTCCATGTTTTGAACATTTTATTGATTGCATTTTAGATATGTGAACTAAAGGCAGATGCATACCTTTTCTGTAGACAGTCTTGGTATTTCAGTACCTTTTGACATTCCTGTCTCATCTTTTTCCAGTCCCAGGCTCCTCATTTCCATCTCTTTATTTCAAGTTTTTTCTTTTTTCCGCTTCATCCATCAAGATAACCTTCAACCAACGCTTCTTTCCCTTCAGAAAATTTCTTGTGCTTTTGGAACCCTGTTCCTGATGTTGGATATTATTAAAGGCTCCCCCAGGGCTGTGTGAAATGGAGGGATTGCAGAAGGACTGGTACAGACCTGGCATCTATCTCTGGTGGTGCTGCTGGGAGCTGGAGCAAAATATTCACCTTTTTGGGTTTCCGTTTTCTCATCTTTTTAAGGTCGTGGGGTTGTCCTGGCCCTGTAAATTCTTGGCTTTGTGATTCTAAGTGCCCATCCTCCAGCCACGGTAGTAATAGGAACAAAAGAAAAGAAAATTTTCTTTTCTTTTGTTCCTATTACAAAAGGGTATAATAGGAATTATACCCTTTTGTAAGTATACCCTTTTGTAGGCATTTTGTAGAATTGCCCACTTAATAGTGACTTTAGGACCAGATTTAAATGAGTATTAGTGTGTTTTGCTAAATGGAACTTTGGTCTCTGTAGTTTCATCCCTTTAGAGTTCCATGACTTCAGTAAATTGAAACTGGCAGACGTATTTTACTGAGTCTATAAAAGACTGCTGGAAGACAGCAGCATACTTGAGTTTAAAACATAGATTATTTTATAGAGAAAGCACAAGAATTTTTTACTCTCTTGGACGTTTTTGAAAGCTTCTCTTCCTGAGAATACTGGTTGCAATTTTGATCCTCTCTTAAGTGATAGTAATATATTATACTCCCAGCTAGGCTGGCTGGAGAAACTTACTGCAACCCACTGAATAAGTTACTAATATAAAGAACTATTTTGAACTTTGGTACTGTAAAATTGTAAATGTTACTTGCAGATGGTGGCTTGTTGAAGTACCAAAGTGGAATAATGACAGGACGTTTTTCTAGGGTTGGTGCGTTGTTGTACCGATTGATTCACTTAGAGGGTTAGGGGCTTCACTTACAAATTCGTGAATTCAAGTGAAAAGAACATTGGATTGGAAACTGAGAGGTTTGGGCTCTGGTTCCAGTTTTGCCCTCCCTCAGTGATCTTGAACGAACTTTATCATCTGTAAGCTTTCGTTTTTTTCATCTTGTAACATGATAGACTTTTTGAGGTCCTAATTTATTCCTAGCACTGTATATATGTTATGTTCATGATTGTGTTCCTTAAGCTTAGAAAATTGCTTTCCTCTGTTATTGTAATCAGTATTCCAAGAGAATAAGCTTCTCTCTCACCTCTCACAGAAAGCACCGATATCCCACCTTATATGATGAAGTGTCCGAGCAATGGTTTGTGTAGCAGACTTCCCGCAGACTGTATAGAGTGCAAGACCAATTTCTCCTGTGTCTATGGGCAGCCTGTCACTTTTGACTGCACAGTCAAACCTTCTGTTACCTGTGTTGTAAGTACTGCAGCTTACTTATTCTTAATAAACTGATCGTAAAGCTCGAGTTATAAGTAGAGTTTAGACTTGACTATGGAGGAAATTCAGAAAGTGCTCTGCATTTTAAAAGTAAGATTTGAGGAATAAAGTCAGCTTTATCAGAAGATGGAAACTTCCATCTCCAAGTAAGGTTTGGTTGCAAGGGTTCAGATAGCAATTTTTTGACATGAGGATAAATTGAAGCAATTGTCAGACTTCTTACAAAAAGTAGGAAGTAAAAGCTCAAACGCACCAACTGTTGCCCATTAGAAATGACCCTGTTACAGTGGTCACTCCTGCAGCCCATCTCTGATATGTTGACAGCCAGGAAGGAGCCTACAAAGGCTTCCACAGTCGGTGTTCCTTAACATGCTCTCGGGATACCTGCTTCAGAGCCACAGACTCCTGGCGGCAGCCCCACACCTGTTGAATGTGACAAGGGCAGGGAGACTCGTGTATCTGCATTTTTGAACCGTTGGACCAGGGAAATTACTGCAAACTTCATTGTAGTCCCAGCATGTGGGTGAGATAGAGAGTAGAAATGAATAATGAGGCAGTGTTTTACTCTTGGACCTGCCATGACTAGCTCTGTGATTTAGTCATCTGTCTCTTGTTAAATCAGGAGATGGGCCCAGAACAGCTTTCCTGAAGTGTTTCCATGGTGCCCTCTTTCTGGGAGATGGTTGAGGAGGAAAACACAGATTCCATACCATATTCTCTATCTCTGTCTTTTTTCTTTTTTTTTAAGGGAAGCAGTAGGAAGTAAGATTTTTCTTTTAATTAATTTATTTATCTTTGGCTGCGTTGGGTCTTCATTGCTGCGCACAGACTTTCTCTAGTTGTGATCGGAGGCTACTCTTCGTTGCGGTGTG